CAAAGGTAAATCTGCGCATGTACAGTTCGGACTGCGCCGATGACACCGCGCATAAACCTTTTGGGGAAAAGAGGTTTATGCGCGGTATCATCGGCGCAGTCCGAACTGTACATGCGCAGATTTACCTTTGCCCATCTCGAGAACAAGGAAGGAGATATATTCTCTATCTCATGTTTTGGACAGATCTGGCATCACTATTCCCCTTCCAGGTATATATGTTCTAAGGTAGACTCCCATTAATGACGTCATATCTTTAATACTCGCATAACTGATAGCGTTTTCAACATCGACACCGTCGAATTGACATCGATTCGACATCATTTCGACGTCGAGATCGACGAATCGTTTCTCACTGGAAAGCTCCCAACTTTCCGAGCACGTGGACGTTACTGGAATTCACTAGATCTGCACTGCGCATGCCCGAAACACTGGGCGAAGTCGCGAGGAGCCTGTCGCTAACTTCACCCTCTTCTCGGCGCGCGCGCGCGCGAGACAGCACGAGAGCGAGAGAGAGAACGAGGGGCAGAGAGTGCAGCCGCGAGGAACAGGTTTATTGATTGCGGAGGGCGCGCAACGTCACACACGATGGACGACAATGGACGCCGTGACTTGTGAACGGCCCGTCGTCCGCGAGCGACTGTTTACCATCGCCCCGTCCGGATCGTCCGGATTTTAGCGTTGCGGCTACGCGCCCTGTGTCGGGAAACGTGCGTGCTGTACTGTGCGCGGGAGATCGGACAATCCCCCGAGCGTGCTTCGGTGTGAAGTGTGTCAGTGAAGGGACAAAGGGTGTCACGTAAGTGTGCGCCGAGCCCTCGGGAGGACTCGTCAGAAAAAAAAATGAAAGCTATCGCGAGGACTTCGAGGAGAGAGAGGGAGTGAGAGCGCTGTAAATCACGGCGAGGATTTGCGTATTTAGTGGCCTCGATCGCCTTGCTACGAACTTTTGCTAGATAACTAAAAAGATTAACGGAAAAAAAGAAAAGAAAAAAAAAGATAGACGCAGTCTCCCGACAGACTCTTGACGTGTTTGACGGGCGTGGGGTAAAACGGTCGTTACGCTGTAAGATCTGTCCGAATCCGTAAACCTCGGCTTGCGGAAAGGAGTGCGCGTAGAGGAAATGAATCACTAGAACGAGGCGATCCGGCAAAAAAAAACGAGTTTCCCCGTGCTTTCAGAGACTCCGTAGAGACGGGCCCCTTCGTGCTCGCCCGCTATGTGTTGTCGAATGTTGTCGCATACTCTCGAGGACTAAAGCCGTGTAGCTATTCCGTCTCTCCAGATCTCCGGCCTGAGCCTCTCGGCTCCCGGTCGGGGGGACCCCCGGGTTGCCATGTGTCCCTGTCGATTTGTGTTAAGCTTAAGAGGGCCGGGCGCTTTAAGCGAAAGCACTCGGGACAGTGTGGACTTTCCGCCTGATTCGGGATCCCCGAACTATCCTCGCTGTACACTATATAGTCCCTTGCTACCGCATTATTGTCGTAAGATGTACGAGAAACGTTACGATACGTCGTTCCTCTTGCCAGAGTGTCCCCGCGCAGCTCGCGACGTAGTAATAAGCTACCTCCCGTCTGTGCGTTGCAGGACGCCTAATCCGGCGGCGGCGGCGGCGGCGGCGGCAGACAGCGACAGCCCGGGCTGACCATGGGCAGCAACACGGACGGTGACAATCTGAATCTCAGCTGCGGCGAGAACGACAACGGCGACGAGCTAAGAATCGCCGCGGACGAGACGTACGACACCCGCAGCGAGGTCTCCTCCAGCAGCTCCAACTCCAACTCCGACTCCAGCCACCCCACCATCAGCTCGGTCTCCAGCAAGTCCTCGCGCGGCGACAACAAGCGCAGCAAGAGGAATCGGAACAAGCGAAGCAGATCCAGGGACTCCAAGTCGTCCAGCCCCGAGCCAAAGCGGGCCAGGTCCAAGGAGAGCAAGGGCACTACCAAGAGCTACGACTACACGACCAAGTTGAATTACTTGTTTAGAGACGCAAGGTTCGATGAGGACAATAAGCAGTTATTGCAGTCTTTGTATCGATAACAAAATCCTGTTTAAAGCTTTTTTTTAAGTGTTAATTTCACATAAACGTGCAGAATTGGGGACTTTAGTTTCTATTGCTTCTTATAAATTACATAATTATGTAAAATTTGTTCTAAAACTACATGTCCTGTATGCAGTTCAGAACTTAACAAAATTGTACCTTTTATATTGAGTCAAACATATGATAATTGTATACATGTAATATAAATTATAAGATGTCACATGTCTATTGCGAACATATTTTTTACATAATATGAGAAAGGGGTGTACGTTGCTTAACGTTATGTATATTTGTAGACGATCTGAATTTGGAATATATATTTCTGAGTTTCCCTTTCCAGATTTTTCATTATCAAGTCCAATAATGCAGAGAATGTGACGCTGTCCAAAGCCAAGGGAGTATGGAGCACGTTGCCACAAAACGAAGCAAATCTCAATCAAGCCTACAGAGAATCGCGAAACGTTTTGCTGGTATTTTCAGTGAAGGAGTCAGGGAAGTTTGCTGGCTTTGCGAGACTTAGCACAGAATCCAGAAGAGACGCTGGTCCAGTTTCTTGGGTGTGCAAAAATAAATATAAAGATCTATAATAAACAATTATGTAATAATCATTAGTTTCACAATTAACTGATTGTCTTTAGTATCATTTAATTGAATAGATCGTCAAAAAGAAAAGAGAGAACGATATCATGGGATGCATTTCAGGTATTGCCTCCTGGATTATCAGCAAAAGCTTTAGGCGGCGTATTTAAAGTTGATTGGATCTGCAGGAAGGAGCTGCCGTTTACAGCAACGTTACATTTGTACAATCCGTGGAATGATGGTAAACAAGTCAAGATCGGTCGGGACGGACAGGAAATCGAGCCCAGAGTCGCCGAAGAATTATGCAGATTATTTCCAGAAGACGAAGGTGATGTACGAACGTTACATCTTAATAAATAATAAGAATAAAGACTTATTATGTCGCCAGTAATTAATTAACCAATGTAGAAAATCAATAGTCGACACAACTGGCAAATTAAAGAAATTTATTGCGAAACATATTACCTCAGCCAGGGTTTGAACACGGACCTCCCTACACTCTAGGCGGGCGTCTCGTTCAAACCCTGGCTGAGGTAATATTTTTCGCAATAAATTTCTTCAATTAGGATTTGCCAGTGGTGTCAACTCTATTAATTTCCTACATTGATTAATAAATAATATTAATCAAATATTTATTAACTTTGATATATTTATAAGTTATATACCATATACATATATGTATATATAATTTCTATATTTATCGTGTTGCATATGTATAAATGTTTGTGCTTGCAGGAATCGAAATGACGCCCATTTTGCGAAAGTCGAAAGAGGCAGGGAAACACGTCGTAAAGTCGTCGCGTTATCGCGACAAAAGACCCATAGGCAGTTCTAGATTTTTACGAAGAGGCGGACGAGGACGTAAACTATTCTTAACGTCGAGATCGCGTTTAGCATCATTGGCGAGAGGATCTCAAGATATAACGGGAAATCACAGAAGCTCCAGGGATCATTCCTACCGGTACACGCCGTGGTTCAATCGAGGCGATTCACCTTACTCAAAGTACGATCATCCAGTAGCGATTATTCGTGACACTCGCAGCTGGACGTACAGTAATTTTTTAAATTTAATTTAGGGGTTACGGAACTGGATTGGGTGTCGCCGCGGTTGCAGAGGCTTACGTGGCAGATTATATGCGTACTATGCAACACCAATTGCCTCCGTTACCACCTTACGGTCCACATCCTTACGACACTTTGCCACCGCCACCTCCACCTCCAAGGTAAAAATTTATTCAATATTGCACCAGAGAAACGCTGATATTTTCCAGATATTTCGTTCTACTTAAACTATTTGCACAGAACACGAACTCCAGTATAAATGTAAATCTCAATTCTCTTTCTGACATTTAAATTAGAAATCAAATATATTTATTGAAATTAAATCAACATATGTAAATTGAATAATTTTAATATAACACTTGACATTGAATTAAAGAAAAATGTTGTGTTACGAACGTACAATTAAATGGAAATATGCTTTTTTTTTTTAGATATTACGACGGTCTACCACTGCCTCCAGATTACAATGCGACAGCATCGGCACTAGAGAAACGTAGTTACGAGAGGAGTGTCGATGAATTTCTATGGAGAACGGCTAGTCGTCATAGCCGACATAGCGATCACCGTTCTTCTCGCGATCATCACAGATATAGAGATCGCAGATAAGGATCGCGACTTTAGTGTTTTCCTTCCATCGAAAATCCGTCGGTTCCCAAGTTCTTCATTGACAATGACAATGAGAATTGGAAATGGAATTCTATTAGTGAAAAAATTAAATTAATTATATACTATTTATATTTATTTGGATTTATACAATATTTTTCAAGAATTATATTCAATATATATAATTAACATATGAATAATATATATATTACTGATATTATATATATTGATATGTATATTATTAATAATAGTATATTGTGATACGTGTGCGGGAGATTGGCTATTGGCCACGAGTAGCGGGTGGGCACACGAGCCGAAGGCGAGTGCGCCCACCCGCTACTCGTGGCCAATAGCCAATCTCCCGCACATGTATCTCATAATATATTAATAATATACTTGATATTACGCTCATTAACACATATGTTAATTATATATTGCCATATAATTTATATTTTATATATATATCACATATACATAATATTTTAAAATGAAACTCATTTGTTCCCCAAAAAATTGACTTCCGCGATTTATGAAGAACCTTTGTTATTTATAAAAATATAACTGATATAATGTTATAAATATAGATTAAATTTGTATAAATTGAGTAAGATCTAATTTAATTGAAATATTAAACTACAAGCTCTGAAAATTTACTTCTGGGAATCGGCGGGTGCGATAATATATATATATATATATAATCATTATATCATCACGACAATTCTAATCGATGACATTTAATTGTCATTTATCACATCGCAGCGCAGTTCCAAATGCATTCTGTAATATGCTGTAATACGCTGTTGTAATATAGATTAATTAAGTTTTGTACCACTGAGTATTGAAATGTACAATTCTTTTACTGAATGTCTAACATCTTCGCAATCGCGCAAACGCGATACAACAATATTAAGAAATTTCGTCAATCAAAAAAAAAGAAGAGAAATAAATTCAAATATGCATACATGATGACGACATTTGTCCTTTTGCAATTTTTTCTCAAACTTTGTACATTTTATACGTCTTACACTTGTACAAAATAATTCTTTTGAGATGAGCGGATTGATTTAACCTGAGTTTTTAATTTGAGTTTAGTAAAAACATTGTATCGTTTCTAATTCAGTAATCCACTGTGTCTATCACCTCTTTACTTAATGCAGCTTTATATTATATTGATCTCTGTTTTTAAATCTATTTTAATCTTGTAAAATGATTTTTCTTGTACTACTCTTCCACTATCCGCGTTGTTCACATAGAGCGAAAAGCAGGGAGAACGCACTATATTTTCGTTCTGCGTTATCAAAGAATAAGATTAGAATAAGAGGAAGCTTAAACATAAGAGAGAGCGTCTTGATGACTTCATAATGGAGAATCAATTGTGTATATTTGTGTGTTTATACGAAACTGTTACACATACAAAGTGTATACATAACACGTAAAAAACATAAACAAGTGTTTTCTTTTTCGCGAGATGTAATTAGTTCAAGAGAAACGTATCTAATAAACGAAATCGAGACTCAGCAAGTGATAAGAAATATCGCTCGACACATCACCCACACAGAACGGATGTCCCCCAACCGGACACGTTGTTCTAACGAGAGATAGAAGTGCGGAAAGATTCTAACGTGCTGCGGCTCTTTCAGTGCATCGTCAGATATCGTCTCTAATTTGTTTCACTAGAAAAAAAAACTTTTTTATGAATCTTATAGTCTCTTAGGTGGTGTTTTAAATAATAAACTTTAACAAAATGAAAAATGTGTCAGTTTATACTTATTGTAAAATTAATTATGACTTTCTTCGAGTCGACGAGAGTCATTTCATTTGTCGCGCAGTCGATAATTACGGCGTTTAATTCATTATGTCCCTTCAAGCGCAATTTTTCAAGTACGGCTCGTGCTGCATAGTGTTATACTTTCTCGTTTGTATACTTTTAATTAAAACGAGAAGAAGCAATGTAGGAGAAACGGCAGGCGCGGTGACGACGATCATCAAGTATCAACCGAAAACTGTTCATTTTCCGACTTTAGACAGGATAGTTAAGAAGAATGTCGAGTCGGAGATTAACATGTTGCGGATGGACGAATTGAAGGGTGGAACTATCGACTTGCAGGTATACTTCAATGTGCAAAAATTAGACTAAAAAAAATCCAAAGAGTCGTTAAAAACAAATGCAAGATAAATATTCAGGATTTTCGTAAACTTTTTTATTTTGACATATTCGAAATCATTAAAAAATTTTTATTACATATTATCATAATTTCGGCACTGGAACTTTTAAATTGCTCGTATGTTTTCCAACAAAATGAGAAAAAAAAAGAATCTCCCCGACGGGGAATCGAACCCCGGTCTCCCGCGTGACAGGCGGGGATACTAACCACTATACTATCGAGGAAGACTTACAGGCAATTTGAAAGTTACAGTACTAAAGCTACAGTAGATTAGTATAGAATAAAAAATTTTTATTATTTCAAATATTGTCAAAATAAAAAAGTTTATGAAAATCCGAAATATTTAATATTAATTGAATGTCTCTTCTAAATGTGTATATCTTTTTATAATTTTACATAGCATACTATAATTCATCTATCATATTTTTGACTATTGATTTAATTTTGTGCACATGCAAAAATGACAATGTTACTTTTACGAATTTTAAAACGTTGTCGAAGATATCTGAATCGATGCTGCCTTTCTATTTATGCACTCCTGTTACAGAAGAGCGCGGCTCTGCTCCAACAGGTATCGAACGTCTGCGCGAAATACAAGCTGAGCACTCCTCTCATCAAAAGGCATTTTTTATACAATGCCAAGCACAAGTCGCTGTATTGTTGGATCCGCAAAGTCGCGTCCACCAGTTTCACCAAATTGTTTTCCGACATGAGCAACCGTGGAGTCGAACATAATTTTTACAAGTAAATTATTAATATAATCAGGATCGCAAACACTTAATATACGTGTATTTATTGTTACTTAATATTATTCTTCACACTTATATGTCTACAATCTTATTAAATATAATTAGTAATTTAATAATAAATTTACTTTGTTTTTTTATTAAGAGACTCAATTATTTCTAATTTATATTAATTTATTTGATAATATTAAACATTTTATTCCAACTCATAACTTTCATTTTATTTATTAAATTCAATTAATTGACGAACATTACGTATAATAATTATTGCTACCACAATAATGTGTATCGTAAATGCTTGTCTCGTAAACTAACCTGAGGAGGACTGCGATTTGCAGTCGAAACGTTGTTATTGTGACAAATTAAATATAGCCAGTTATGTCGAAACAATTGATTGATTATTCATTTTATTTGTTTGTGTTCGTAAAAATAAACTAATAATATATAAGGGATTATGATCGATGATTCGATGATGCATTTGTAGAGAAGTAGACATCCTGTCCCTGGGAAGATTGGAAGATCTGCAGTATTTTGCTAACAACAATACTGTTTTCAAATTGCTCGTTGTCAGACATCCGTTTCAACGACTGGTCTCGTCGTATAGGTAACAATTAGTTAATATCACTTGGAAAGTTGAAGAGAAAGAAATTCAGACTTTCTATTATTCCGTCATAATTTACGCCAATTTGTTAATACCGATGATTCTAACGCCAAGATCAACATCAACAAAAAGAATACCGATGCAAGATTATTTATAGAGACCGCATCGAAGACAATAGCAAATACACCGCGCAATCCTGGCTCTACGCTCGCGAAATTCTTCGTCTCTCAAGACCGGAACTCTTCAGTTTCAACGCGTCGGGCGGCAACATCCTGCAAAGGCTATTCTTGGTGGACAGAAGGTACGTACGGCAAATGCTTACATCTCATTTTCCTACTCTACAATTAATGCATTGTAACATAGAATACGGATCTATGTCTACATTTCTCTGCAGGTTGAAAGTAGTACCCAGCTTCCGAGAATTCCTGGAATGGTTGCTGAAACAACCGTCGGATCGCAATGACGTCCACTGGGCCCCATATCACACTCACTGCGCAGTCTGCAACGTGAGATACAACTTCATCCTGAAACTGGACGAATACACGTTCGGGGAAGTAAATTATATCCTATCGAAGCTGAGATTAGATAAGGATAAGACCTACCTACCTAGACTGCAGCGTGCTCGCACCGGGGCCACTAACTCTGATATAACGTGCAAATACTTTCACGATCTGACAACCGACATGGTCCTGCGATTGTACAATAGGTACAAAATGGACTTCGAGATGTACAACTATAAACTGGATAAGTATTTGCGCTGTGCCAAGAATAAAAAATTGACTCTGACCACGCAAAAGAATGGAGCAGCAATAAGAAATACCTAATTGAAAAGCGATAAAAAAATTTTTTCACAAACGACTACGTTCTTTGAAAATATATTTTAATTTACTTTTTATGGACAAGTACCTCTAAATAAAGGAAACACAAATTCCCTTAGGAAGATTATATATAGAATATTATTAATTACTGCGTACGTAGTGGCTCTTGGAATTCGATAAAAACTCTAAATCAGCAATTACATATATACACGCATATGAGGATATTAATTAATAAACTTAGTTAAAAAAAACCATCTTTTTCTTTTCTAATGATCACTATAATGACAGTAATGACAGCAATTATGACCTTATGATAATACATAGATAATATATATTTGTCAATATACAAAATTAAATTAATTACTGCATAAACCTTAGATATCACTAATAGAAAGGGGCTAAAAAAATGAAATTTTATCTCTCTATAAATTATGCTAGAAACAGCGTTTAATCTTAATTTTTCACACAAATTTGTCTTATTTCTTATATTTTCCTACTTTCCGTTCCTCCTATGTTCTTCAAAATCTTTCTTGATTCCTTTTCATCTCTTTATTTTTATCTCGTTTTGAACTTGAAATGTTTCCAAATGCTTTCTACTTCGAACCATATCTCTCACTTGTTTTTGAAGCTCATCTCTTGCTCTCGCAATTAATCGTCGTCGCAAACTATCAGGCAATCAGTGTCGTCGGAAAGCTTTCGATCCCTCAGCACTGATTTCTTCAATTCGCACGCATTATCATGAGGTGAGTCGTCGTTACTGATAATGCAAATATCATTGCTATCATCGCCATTATCAACTTCCACCTTGCGTCTCTTAGTTTCCACCCCATCTTCAGCATCAGTTTTGCGCTTCTTAGATACTTCCAACGTTTCAGTCACGTTCTACAGAAAATATATTTTAAGTAAATAGATAACAGATAATAAGGTACTCTAAAGAAACGCACCTGTCCATTAGAGCTGGAAGACTTCTCCGTTTTCTCTTCTTCCTCCTTTTCCTTCGGTTGAAGCGTATTCTTATCTGCTAGTATCAAAAATTGCGGACTATCGTCCTTCGGGCCAGGTTTCTCCCGATAAACTACAAAGACGGTCAGCGAATAGTTCTGCTGGAAGTCGTCGACCTTGAGAATCGCTCCATCCTTGATTCCCAATTCTTCCAATTTCTTGTCATTGTTGCCCTCCGTCTCGCCCTCCTCGCTGCTAATGACGACGGCACCAGTTCCATCGATCATGACGTCGGGGGCGATCATATTCAGTCTATTCTTGAGCACCAACTCCTCTAGTTCCTTAATAGTCATGCTGGAGGTGTCGACCGCCAGCACGGCCTGTGGAGTCGGCGCGCAAACATAACATTGTGGATTGGGTGGATTTACCGCCTTTTCTGGGACCAGCAGTTGATTACGGTGATTCATCTTCAAACGTAGATAGACGGATCTGCAGGCTCGCAGATTGTTCTCAAGAACCCGGAATGCATGAAGGACCACCATGCCCGCTATGATAGCATTGGTAGTGGCGATCGCCGGGATTATGTTGCCAGCCATTGCTAAGGAACGAGGAAAGTAACGTAAAAATTAAAATCGTGACGAAGTCATGGACAATAAAATTTAGCAATTCGAATTGTACGTTTAAAATGAGACACAAATATACAAAACTTGGAAAAGCAAAAGACGCTGGATGGTGTGCGAATTGCTTTAAATTCGAGTCGAATCACTGAGAGCTCGACCCGATTCGTTTTCGAATCAGAAAGTCTCGATTTAAAAGAAAACACTGGAAAGTGGAAGATTGTAACAGAGTTCAAATGGTAACCCATATATCAAGAATAAGAAATGTAAGAAATTATAGAACGGCTGGAAATACCACTGTCGTTTACATTTGATATCAAATCTGCTTTTCTGAGGAATTCCGAAGATGTGCGCACGAATGTTGGCGCACGCTGCAACAAAATCCATAGCGTGCTGATCGTCCTTATCCCAGACCAAGTGATTGCCTGGCGATTTTTCTTGAGACACTTTCAATGTCTGACTCAAGTTTTTCATCGATTCCGCAAAGGTCGAGCCGCATTTGGAAATGCTCCAGCGCTGCTGGTCCTTCAGCCCAGGCTGATTGATCTCTTTGCTGCATCCAGCCACTTGAAAAAAACAATACGTTATTGTCGTTGAAACAAATTCGAAAGAAGATATATTTGTAAAATGACAAACCTCCGTCTGGTAATTCTTTCCAATTTAGTGGCGTTGGAGGTCGGCGCTTTTTCCACAAATTGTCCATGCTCAACAGATACTTGATATCATCGTGAAAAAGCTTTGTAAATAGCTTTTCTGGATCGTAATTGCAGGACTGGGCCCAAACTCGCGTGGAAATTCTGTCGATATTACCTTTATCGTTGGATTCCACCTGTAAAGCTCCTTCCCCTGCTGTATCTATGACAAAATACTACATTAATATCTATTGTTGAATTATCAGTAATAATGGTAACAATTTATATCAAGTAAAATAACAAATTTGATAGCATTAAAATTTTTTACTTCACAATTGTCTTAAAAGAATGCACAAAGTGCCAATTAGCAATTGATACTGCTGCTGTTTATTATAATTATAAATTATGCTAATTATAACATAATAATTTGTATTACCTGTTGCTTCAGGATCAGCGGTGTCTGGAGAAACATCCTGATCGGGATCCTCTTCCCCAAATAATTGACTACAATATTGCATTATAAAATTGAAGATTACCGTTCGTAAAATTAATTTTCATATATTTTTATAGTATCACAAGTCAAAATTTTTTTAAGTTTACTCAATGTGTAGTTAATTAAATATCTTAATGTAGATCGTGTAGCAATTACTTGAAGAGATGTTTGGCCCACACAATGCAGTGAATCGGCTCGCTGGGCGTATTGCGGATGGTACAACCAGGATAAGTCTTTTGTGCAGCTTTAGGTGTACATTCGTAGCACTGACTCAGGCCTTTCTTGATGAGTTCAACCTGACCTTCGTAACCCGCGGTACCTGACTCGATCAACGGTACGTCTGCCGCCAGGCACATGCGATTCACATGGTTCCTTGCCGCTCTATTGTCGAGTGCGTTTAAAACCACCGTGAACCTCTTGAAGAAAGACAAACCAAATTCTGATCTGCAAAGCGGGTGAAATTTTAGAAATACATTTGTTTAGCTTCAGTGTTAGTATTGTCTACTATGGAAAAAGTGTGTCAGGCTGAACTTACGATGTAATACTGTCGTGATAATATATCACTTTAGCATCCGGATTAAATGTCAATGCCGTTTCACACGCTATGCTGGCTTTCGACTTTCCCACGTGTTTCTTTTGGAACAGAAATTGCCTGTTTAAATTGCTGACGTCAATCGTGTCCAGATCAATCTGAAAAAAAGTTAAAGACATCTAAAGTTGAACAATCTAAATGTAAAATAGCAGACATAGAAATATTACAAATACAAATCGAGATACAGAAAGTAAAACAAATTAAAATCGAAATTGCGTGAAAGACAAAATTAAACGCAGGGGCTCAGAAATATTATATAAATCACTGAATCAACTAAAATGAGAATTAAATAGCATCAGGCAAAATAATTAAAATAAGAATCATATGGAATAAATAAAAATTTAACAACAAATACAGATAAGTCAGAATAAATTAACTTGTTACAAATTAATAGGGCAACTCTATTAAAAAAAAAGAAAATAATTTGGCAGAATCTATGCAAGTATGTATCTATATAGACATTTGTACTGTTTCCGTTTAAAGCATTCAAGTTAATATTATTATTGTTAATATAAAAGTAGAAAAAATGGAATGTAGATTGACAGACGCTTACCAATTGTACGTGCATATTGCTGAAAAGTGAGGTTACGTTGGCTACTATAGAACTGCGTGTACTTACGATTTCGATATCTGCGAACCCGGACATCACCAGGTTCTTGAGAATCTCGCAGCCGATACCGCCGGCGCCGACAACGAGCACCTTGCTACGTAAAACAGCATCGCGTAGCTCTTCGCGAAAGACCCCGTTCACGGTAGTCGCCATCTTGACTAAATGAGTCGCTTTGCGGCGGCCGGCATCGGCATCCGGCATCCGGCATCCGGCATCGTATCCCGCGATTCCGCGATCGCGCGGCATTTTCTCACGCGTGCGCAGCAGCCGCCCCCTACGGTACTACAAGCAGGTACATACGAGTCTCACTAGCCGTCCGCATCGCTTATTGGTTAATAACCTGGACTCTCTAGGGCCGGTATTCATAATCTAAAGCCTCGTCTACATAGAAGTCGTAAAGTCGCAGTCGTAAGAATGGCCGCGTTCAAGGCCTTCACACATAAAATTCCGTAAGGCTGGGTCTACATAGGATGTGTTCGAAAATGGATTTAGTTACTGCCAGTGAAAACAGTATAGTTGGTAGCAATGAAAATTACTGGTGCTGCGTTTTTCGCACGCCAGTAAAGTCAGTAAGGCTGGGTCTACATTTGGATGTCGTAAGTCGTGTCGGAAGGAATTGACCAATCACAGTTCATTATTCGACTTACGACATCCAATGTAGACCCAGCCTTACTGA